CTGGGGGCCTCCAGGCGGCGCTGGCGCGCGGGGCTCGGGCTGGGGCGAGCGTGCCCGGTCACCCGCGCCTCCTACCGTCCGCGCCCGGGGGTGGGCCCGCGCCGCTTGAAGGATTGACTCGGAGATGGATCGAATTACACCATTTGCCGAGCCTCGGTTTGTTTTGCTCCTGCTTCGTCCCGCTGCTCCTGCGGCGGCTGCTGCTGCTGCTGCTGACGCTGCTGCAAGGACTGCTGGTGGCGAGTTTCAGGATTATATCGAGGGAGCCAAGACCTAAAGACACAGAGGGACATACATGTCTATTTTCTATTTTGTTCCTTTATTTTCTTTTTTCCTTGCACGTGACAAGCTTTATTTTTACCAGCCTCCCCTCATGAGGTAAGCCCCTCTTGTGCAAATGTGGTAATGCTCTGGGCGCCTGGTGGGGATCGGACCGGGATCCTCCGAGCCTGCATCGCTGGCAGGGCGCGCGCGAGTGTGCGTGGCCACTGGAGAGTTTATTTCTTTTTCACCAGCTCTCTCCGCTGGTCGCGCCAGGGACGCGCGGAGGGCTGGAGAGGTTTGGCGGACCCGTCAAAACTGGCGGAGCTGGGAGCTTGGGGGGAGGGGCATGTGGCCCTAGAGGCCCCCCAGCACTGAGCACCCCTTCGGGGGGAATTAGCGGAAGAAGGGGGCGAGGAAAAGTTTCTTGCCAGGCAGCGCCAGCTCCGCGCTGCCCCGCGCATTATCAGGGGCAACCCAGGCTGTTCCGGTGCCGGGCACGGCGTCTCCAGCCAGCCGAAGAGCCCAGCCAAAGCCAGAGGAGCCGGCTGCGGGCTCGGCCGCCCCCTTCTGCCCGTGGGCCCCGAAGCCAGCGACGGGACCCGCTGGAATCCGGAGCGCCCGGACGGGTTGAAAGCGGACTGGCGAGCACCGGCCGCACCGGGAAAATTGCGAATCACTTAACGGCATAATCGAACGGCCCCCAGAGTACATCGCGCTACCAGTCAATGCGACCCCGA